CACTTCCCGGAGGGTGCGGAAGCTGGGCGGGCCAGGGAAGGCTGGGGCCATTTTGGGCCAGGGCCACCTCTCCGGCATCGCTCGGGTCGCGCACACCGTTTCAAAGCGACGGGCCGCTCCAGGGCCTCGCCGGCTGCCTGCGGCACACCCCGCCACCGCGCCGGCGCGGCAGCGCGGCGTGAAGGAAGTCGAGCCGAAGACCCACTGCACTTCAGCGCGCGGTGTGGATCCCGATGGGTTCTGAACGCGATTTCGCTCTCTCGGCTCGCGAGCCTCGGAAGGGCTTCTCGGGGGCCTCCTGGAGGGCCTCTTTGGGGCCTCTTGGGGGCCTGGGCAGTATCGTCATGGAGGTCTCTCGGGCCGTCTTGGAGCCATCTTCGGGCCTCCGTGGGGGCTTCTTGGGCCTTTTTGGGGGCCTCTCCAGCCGTCTCGGCGCCCCCTCGGGCCAGAAAGTGCCAGCATGTCAAATCTTGCACCTCGCGCGAGGAAACATTGTTTGGGGGCTGTCGAGGGCCTCTCAGGCATCCTCGTGAAGCCCTCTTTGGGCGTCTTGGAGGCCTCTTGGGCCGTCTTGAGGCCATCTTGGGCGTCTTGAGGCCCTCTTGGGCCGTCTGGGCGCCCTCTTGGGGATTTCTTGGGCTGTCTTGGAGCTACCTTGGGCCATCCCGAGGTCATGTTGGACCGTTTCAGGGCCTTCCTGAGAAGTCTTGGGGCCGGGCCGAGCTTGGCTGCCTGGGGCTGGATTTGGGTCGTCTTGGAGCCGTCTGGACGGAGAAGGGCGCGACGCAGAGCAAATCCAGAGGGGACGATTTTTGTTTGAGCGCGCGCGCGCGCTAGTAGGGGATGGGGTCGGCCCTTGCAAGCATCGAAGGGATATTACCAGATAGCAGAGTAATAAAAAAGGACAGCAGAGGAGCATGTCTGCGCGCCCGGCGTGCACAGGGCACGCTGCAGGCACCACCTCGATCCGATGGATCCGATTCGATGTCGATTCCGGCCAGCCCGATTCGATTCCGGTATTCCGACGATCCGATGCGGCCCGATGGTTGCATGGCGTTTTTGTTGTGCGTCTTGGCGCAGCCGATGCGATCCGATTTCGATTCCGTTCCAACGCAGCCCGATCCGATGCACACCTTCGACTCGACCCGACTCTGTCACCGATCCGATGCCGATTTCATCCTGCGCGGTGGCGGATTGTTCCGTGCAGAATGTTCCGGTCTGCGGGAGTTCCGCAGTTCAGGAGCAGCGCGAGAAGCTGCTCATGGAGGATGACGATTAATAAATGACCGGGGGTCGTGTTCACGCGGCGGCGCCCGGGATGACGATTAGAAAGAGCCGGCCGCGGGCTGGAACAGACTATTTTTTAAATCGCTCTCCTCCAGTCAGAAAATTGTGCAGAAGTAGCAGAAAACTATTTCTTCAATCGTTCTCTCCCATTTTTTATTAATCGTCATCCCGCACTACATGGAGCGGCGCGAGTTGCGGTCGTGCGGGCGTTCTGCGCGGCGGATCTCGCCCCGTTGGCGGCGACGATCTGGCGTCTCGCCCTGTATGATAGATGTGCAGGCCACGAGCGGCGAGCGCATCCATATCTTAGGCGGTCTAGACACACATCAGGGGGAGGAGGAGGAGGAGGAGGAGGAGCAGGAGGAGGAGGAGGAGGAGGAGGAAGGAGGAGGAAAAAGGAGGAGGAAAAAGGAGGAGGAGGAGGAGGAGGCACCCATATCTTAGGCGGTCTAAACACACCTCCACCATGTGGGCGCAGAGCGCCCCAAGGTCGCCGCTGGAGGCGGGGCCAAGGTGTTGAGATCGCCCCGGGCTGCTCTCGGGGGGCGTGCTGAGTCCAGCCAGGACCACCTGGGCGGCTGTCTGTGCGCAACCCGAGGCCCTGCCATCACCAGCGGCGAACGTATCCGCATCCACGCCCTCGCGGTCTGGTTTCTGGGGCGCGATCCCGCGGATGCGCGGTCGCACGGATACGTTCCGCGCGGGGCATCCGCGAACAGAAAAGGTGTCTCCGCGGGGTTGCGGCCCAGGGGCTTGGCCCGCGAGACCGCGGATACGGATATGTTTTCCGCCCACGATTGGGTTCGAGACGTCATCCGTCGCAGCAGTTTTCTGTTGCCACTAATTTTTCAATTGGGAACTGCCTAGTTCGAGAGGCGACATTTGAATGTACGCCCTCTGGTAGGCAGGCTGCGCTTCGCAGCCCCGATTTTCTGCTAAGTCGCAGCCCCACGCGAACTTCTGGAGCACTTCGTGCCTTCGCGGGCTTTGCGACTGACGCTGGTAGGTGATCTGACGATTCGGCACCTGGACCTGTACTTCTGAATCGGTTGACGCCCACGGAAGCGCAGCTCGAGTGCCTTGCTCCAAACTTGACCAGTTGGTTGTGAACCTATTTTAAGGGAGCCATCTTCATGCCCTCCATTTTTGTCGCGTTGTGTCCCACGGACGTGGCCCATTGTTCCCCAATCAGTCTTGCCTATAAGAGGCTCTCCTTCATCTCTGAAGCACTGCAGTGGGTGCGAGGCCTGCGCCGGGCTTTCCTCGGGGTTGCCCGCTTACCCGGCCTTCCTCGGGCTGTCTGGTTGCCCAACTTGGCCTTCCTCGGGTTGCCCAGCCTTCCTGCGGTTGCCCGGTCGCCAGGTGCCAGGCTGCCCAGCTGTTGGATTGCCCGGGTTGCTTGGGTTGCCCGATAGTCCCGTCTGACCGGTTACTTTGTTCTCCAGTTTGCTTCATCGTCCGGTTGCCAAGCAGTGCAAGTTAAGTGCAAAGCGGTTCAAAGCAACGCAACGCAATGCGAGCCAATGCAGCAGAAACTTAAGCAACGGCAAGCAAAGCCAGACAAAGCCAAGCAACGCCAAGACATAACAAGCAACGCCCAGCAATGCCAAGCAACGCTAAGCAACGCTAGGCAACCCCAAGCAATGCCAACCAATGGCAAGCAGTGCAAAACAGTGCCGCGCAGGAAGCATTTCCCTAATTGGGTCACTCCAGGTTCATTGGTGTTCTTCACCGCAGTCCTCTCCGATGGCAGCATGTACCACCGCGGGCTCCGCCTGCGGGAGCCTCTGCTTAGCTGCCACCTGCCAGGATATATGCTTGCCAGTGTCGCGACCGTGGACGCGGCCAGCCAGCGGCAGAGGATGCCCGTTGCACTTTCAGAGGGCGGCCAGCCGGATTGCACAGACTATGTTTGCGGTGTGCCGAGCTCTCCAGATGGGAGCGCGGACAGCAGGAGGAGGGCTTATGGGAAGAGTCGATGTGGGGTGGCATTGGCAGGTCGCTCCTCTCTGTAGGAGATGTTGCCGAGGATCGTGGGGTCCAGCAGTGGCTTCTCGACTGGCTTTTTGTATTGGGTGGAGCCTGCGTAGGGCCTGCTGCCAACTAGATCCTGCGACGATCTGGGATAAAGGAGGAGCAGGAGCAGGAGCAGGAGCAGGAGCAGGAGGAGGAGGAGGTGGAGGAGGAGGAGGAGGAAGAGGAGGAGGAGGAGGAGGTGGAAGAGGAGGAGGAAGAGGAGGAGGAGTGGCGCCCGCGAGGGCGGCGAGAGGTCAGAGGCCCCATGTTCCGCTCTTCGGGTCCAGAGGCCCGAGGGGGCCATCTCCTCCTCCTCCTCCTCCTCCTCCTCCTCCTCCTCCTCCTCCTACGTTTCTACGTTTCTCGCTATGCAGCGTCTTGTCGCGCGCCCCGCGGGCGCGGAGCGCTCTGCAGCGGCCCTCTAGGGCCGTGCGGGCACTCAGACAGCGGCCCCGGGAACCCGACCCCGAGGAAAGAAGGGAGCCAGGGACCAATAAAACATAGAGGAGGGAGAAAGGGGGCCGGGTTTCAGCAAAACTAAAAAGATGAGGGCCCGTCTGGGCCCTCAGCGGGCGCCGCGCTCGCCCGTGCCAGCTCAGGCAGCACGGCGCGCAGCCAGGCCTTCGGCCTCTTTGTGGGCGGTCGGCCTCTTGTGTGGCGGCTGGGCTCCCTTCGGCGCCTCGCGCTGAGCCCAGCCGCCGTGTCATCGGATGGATGGCCGCCTTCTCTGCGGCGGCCTCCACCCTTCGGCGCATGGCGCTGTGGAGGCCCGCCAAGCCTCTCTTGGACTTCGGCGGCCCTGCAGCCATCTCCTCGCCTGCCACGCGAGGCTGGGGAAGGCCTCGCCGCGGCGCACGGTGCGCCGCCTCCTTCACTTTGCTTGGACTCCTCTGAGATGTCGTACGTGCTGAGCACCGCTTCCGATGTGGCAGGCTCATCACGCCACACTGCTGAGGACCCTGCTCCTGTCCTCCTTTCAGCGGGCTGGTCTCGTCAAGGTGGTGGTTGCTGTTGATGGGGTGGAGGTTCTGGGGTTGATAGTCTTTGTGGTGCCTCGCAGCTGAGGACCCTGTTCCTGTCCTCCTTTTCTGCGGGCGTGCCATCTGGAGATTGGTTCTGAGGACCCTGCTCCTGTCCTCCTTTTCAGTGTCTCCATGGCGTGTTGCTCGAGCCTGGCTGTTGAGGACCCTGCTCCTGTCCTCCTTTCAGCAGGCGCTGTCATGGTTGAGTCGTGCCGCACTGCTGAGGACCCTGCTCCTGTCCTCCTTTCAGTGGGCTGGTGGAATCGAGGTGGTGATGGTGGTTGGATGGGTGGTGGTTGCGGGCTGGGTGATCTGACGGTGGCGAGTCCCATAGGCTGTAGATGGTCGTCTTGAGTGTCTATGGTCAGGTCGTGGGGATAGCGTGTTGTTGCTGGGGTTGTGTTGTGGGTTATGGGCGCACATGAGAGGCCTCCATGCACCGATTTCAAGTGGGGTTCGTGGCGGCCCCACCTCGTCCCGCTATGGCTAGGGGTCACGGTGCCCTCGGTGGGGGCGAACCCCAGGCCTGGTGCTTGCTGTTGTCGTCGGTGGGGAATGTCTCTGCTGCCTTCAGCTTCGCCGCGTCGGCGATCGGGTAAGCTCCTCCTTCGCCATGGGAATGGTGGGGGTGGCGAGCTAGGGCGGACCGCGGGGGCGCGGGCAGTGGCCGTCCTACCCCCCCCCTGCCCCTCACCATCCCCGCTGGCGGGCGCGGGAAGTACTCGTCCTTCCCCCCCAGCCCTTCGAGCCCGTCTCGAAGTTTGATCCTCACCAGGACAGCGTTGACTTGGAAGGAGTTGTAGGGGGTCGTGTTGGGTATGCTGTCGATGTCGGTCGGTGATACGCTGACGGCCAATGGGCCGCCCGCTGCCAGCCAGCTGGCGCCATCCATATTGTAGATCTCCAGGAGCCGCCGCGGTACACATCAAAACGTGGCGACTTGTGCCTGGGGTGTTCCCTCGCATTCGGGGCTTCCCCAGGTCTTGCGTTCTAACGATAGCCAAGGTTGGCGACGCTGCCTGAGGTCTTCCCACGCATTCGGGGCTTCCTCAGGACTTAAGCAGCACACCGTAATGCCTGCCCAGGGCCAAATAATCATAGTAAACAATGCCAATGTTAGGAAAGTCGATAAATCCAGCAAGTGCTCGAGGGGGGGGCACGCTCCGTCGCCATTGAGGGATCGTGCCCACCCGTATGGGCGCTACGGGTCCCCCCCCCTCGAGATGGCACGCAATCGTTGTCCAGGTCGCATCCGTACCAGTAACCCGTTAGCAACAGGGTATTGGGCCATGCCGTAGGTGCGCTGATGCTGACACTTCTGCTGCCAATCTGAAATACTCTGTATAAAATATTGTGATGCCAGCTGCCATCAAATCTGCAGCAAGCCGGTGGTCTGCGCCAAATTGCAGACCAGTGTTCCCTTACGGGGCAAAAGTATATAATACTGGACGCTTGACTCGACTAACTGCACCAAATAAGCCGCCGCGGTGCCAATTGCTAGCGCCGATGGTTGCCCCATGCCCTGTGACAATCATGGCCGATCTGGTCTGTCTCCAAGTAGTAATCCAAGGGGGCGTAGAACCTGTGGTAGCAGTCGTCCGTTTCGGCCCACATTGCCTCTGCGTCAGCAAGCTGCCCCCAGTGGGCTGCGAAGGCGGTAGCCATTGCCTTGCACAGCCTTGATGGATACTCTTTGAGGGGGGCGGTCCTCCAGCCGCCTTGGCCGTCTCGTCCGTAAACTCCGGCATGTCCCGCATGTCGGCATAGCTGCCCCCCAGGTACCGCCCTTAGCTCCTGTGCGAGTTCACAGAGGTGTGCCGCCATCAGACATGTTGGTTTTCTCGCGTCCTGCCCGAACTGGCACTGGTCTATGTAGTGAAGTTCGACGCCCGTCTGCTCCAGGAGCCAGAGCGTCTCTGCTCGCTGCCAGCTGCTAGGCGCTTGAGGGCACCAT